TTTCCCTGCCGACTGCTTTCCCACTCCCACTTGCTACCTTCCAAACACTCCTGTCTTGAAAAGCAGCTGGAAGCGGCACTTTTGGAGCACAGAGCTGGTTTTGAGCTGCAGCCAGCTCAAGGTTTTTTTGTTTTTTGGTACATGGAATATTGGTCCCCTAAAAGTGGATTTTATTTAATGGGCATTTTAAAAGACAAGTTGGAGAAATAAATCGCGGCCTGTTTCTCTCCACATTGTCTCTTTTCTCCAGGATCAGGAGACAAATTATTTTTAAAAAGGCAAAAGGGGCTAGGCTGAAACAGAAGCATCAACCCTGCAGTCCATGTGTGCCGGGGCTTTGCCTCCAAGCGGGTTGCAGGAAAAAAACTGCAGAACCAGTGTGTCGTTGCACAGGCATGGGTATGTTCTTGAAGGCCAAACAGGGGCCTTTTCCTCTGCCAAGGAACTGTTTTGCTGTATCAAACCAAAGCGCATCTCACCCAGCATACTGCTTCCAGTAGAGGTCAGCAGTGACTGCCTTTCCATTTGTTCCCAGAATCAGATGTCTGAAGGGTATACTGTCTCTGGACATGGGGTCCATTCATGCCACATAGCCATGAATGTATGACCCTGTTTAAAGACACCAAAGCCAGTACAACGTCCCAGGACGTGCTTTGGCATATAACCACAACATGCATCAAATCAGACCATTGCTCCATGTAGCTCAGTATTGCCTACAACTGAGATGGCATACTGTGCATCTGTGCTGCTATGGAACAAGGTCCTTCCTGGCAAGCCAACCACTGCCTTCAATCTCACATACTTTGCACATCCTTGATTGCAACAACCCTGACTCCTGCATTGCAGGGGGTTGGACTAGATGGCCATTGGGATCCTTTCCAACTCTACAATTCTGTGCCTTGGAACGTAACTGGGGAGTTTTTATTATTCACTTTGTTGCTAAGGTCTGAACTGCTTTGGTATTTCTTTTTTTCCTTCTGCAAACGAAAAAGCAGCATAGAAATCTATTTAACAAATTACATGCCTCTGCAAAAAATACATTGACTGGAAGTGCATTGGCTCAAATGGAGAAAATGCCTTACATTCAATAAAGGACGTGGTCCGGTCCCTCAAATTAGGAAGGGGTGGATGGGGTAGAAAAGTCAGGGGAAGCTTGACACAGGACCCCCAGCCTCACCCCTCTTCTGCTTTACCCCACACCAAGAGACATGAGAGGCAGCTCTTCTTGCTAATTCCTCTGTCAGCTGGGGATTCTCAAAGCATCTTTTCTCGACTTGGAAAGATGCCCTAGGATGGAACTAAAGAGCCCTTGGAGTAGCAGACAATCACTTCACTTTTTTCCCCCTGTGTGACCATTCATGCTGCGTTGCCACCTGCATTCATCCCTTTCAACCATGGAGCCAACATATATCCACACAGCATAAATCCAGGCAAAAAATATGAGGGCAGTTTGAGGGCAGAAGTTAAGCATGGCAAAGAGCATGGGGATGCTCCTGGCAAAAAAATGGCAACCCAGCATTGACTCCTTCCTCTCCCCTGAAACGAGGAGTAAATGATGCCTCATCATCACTTCCCCCAGTCATTTCACTGGCTGTGTTTGGGAGGGGAGGAGAAAAATGTGAGGTGATGACCATCATCTCACACATTGTTATTACTGTACATTATATAGCGAAAAGAGTAAACCTGGCATAGGACTGCCATTTTCGGTACCTGCCCCCTATTTTTCCCCCTCGACTCATCAGGGCAGGCTGCCGATTTGGGACAGTCCTTAGCAAAGTGCACTCTGGTGGCCCTATTATGTGGGCAGGTCTTGGCAGGTAGGAAGTAGTGCCAAGTGACTCAGAGTCATTTCATAATTTCCCACAATGCCCCGAGAGCAATGCTTCATTTAAGATCGCTGTGAGAAATCAAAATGGCGGCTCCCAGACCTAATTGCCCAGTGCTGCTTGGACTGCTGTTCTTGTTGCTTTGAAGTAGAAGGTAGGACAGGAATAAGTGGTGGACCCTGCTTAGGGCAGGGGTAGCCAAAATGGTGCCCTCCAGCTGTTGTTAGGACTACAACTCCCATCAATCCCAACTGGCATGACCAATGAGCAGGGACGGTGGGAACTGTAGTCCAGTGTCTAGTGGGAATCACATTGGCAGCCCCTGCCTTATGTGAGCAACGTCTTTTGTCCTCTTGCCTCAAAAGCCACCAGATGTACAACTAAGGACAGCCAAAGCTGTGCCTGTTGCAGCAACCACCACAGAAGAACACACTAAGTAAATCCTGATTCTACACCATAGCTTAGCTGAATGTGAGCTTTCTTGTAGATTAGCTTTCTCCAACCTGGTACGCTTCAGGACTACAATTCCCATCATCCCTGACCTATGGTCATACCACCTGGGGATGATGGGAGTCCAAAACGCCCAGAGGGCACCACCAAGTTGGGGAAAGCAGCTTTAGATCATCTCCTGCAGCATGAGATGAAGTGCTGCAAGATCCCATCTCTGAAAACAGAAATCAAGATTTAGAAATCCATAAATACTTAAGCAGTTTCTTGCCTTACATCCCCTGCCTTGCTTTTCTTCACAGACCTGTTTATTTATATTGTAAGTCTGCAGATAGGGTTTTGTCACAGTTAATCTTATGTTAGGATATTGTACAGTGCCTTGCTTTAAAAAAAATGCTTCAGAAATAATAAGATATTATTATAATATTGACTGTAGCGAGCTTTCTTGTTTTCTGCTTTGCAACAAACAAATGCTCACAAAAGGTTAGCTCCATCTTTATGAAGCCAGTAACCTTTGGAAAAGGCTTGACAGTGTTAAAATTCCAAATGATGCTACCTGAAGCATTAGGAGCCAGCAGAAAATATGGACACAGAAAACAGGATGTACGTGTGTGTCTTTGTGTGTGTGTACATGCCAGAGCACGGCAGAGGTGAGAATTTAAGTCAAACAGCCAGAGCTGTACAATGTGACTATACATACTGGCACGTGCCACTCAAATTCATTCATTCGTGTAAACATTACTCAAAGCAATGCTTCCATATATGACTTTAAGAACTGAAAGTTTGCAAACGCAATCTGTGCTTTTAGAACTAAGATCAAAGTTCCAGAAAGAAGGGATTCCTAGCAGCAATGCCTCCTTAACTGCATTACATTTTAGAGGATTAAAAGCAAAGAATATGCAGTTCTGTCTATCAAGTTTGCAGTAGTCCCTGACAGGCACAGGCCAACCCTTTGCAATTTATCAAAAGAGATTATAGTGGTACCTCAGGTTAAGTACTTAATTCGTTCTGGAGGTCCGTACTTAACCTGAAACTGTTCTTAACCTGAAGCACCACTTTAGCTAATGGGGCCTCCTGCTGCTGCCACGCCGCCGGAGCCCGATTTCTGTTCTCATCCTGAAGCAAAGTTCTTAACCTGAAGCACTATTTCTGGGTTAGCAAAGTCTGTAACCTGAAGCGTATGTAACCCGAGGTACCACTGTATGAAGTTTAGTTCTAGAACCCCACTGGCCTACTGAGGCAATAAGATCCCCACTGGCTCTTGCACCTGAGAGAGACCTATCTGATCTAATCTGTGTTAGATTAGCACAATGTGTTTTAAAGGTGTTTTGGGAAAATATGACTAGTTCAGAATGCAACAACTGGGATACTGACAAATGTTAACCAAAAAGACTGGTGCTGAAACAAACTGCACTGGCCTCCAATTTATTTCTGGGCGAAAGTGCTGGCTGTGACCTATAAAGTCCTAAGAGGCCCTTTGTCTATGTGAATCTGCCAGCCTATTAAGGTTATCTTCTGAAGCTCTTCTCCGAGCATCTCCCTATTCAGTCGTTCGGTGGGGTCTTCTTCCACTGGGGAGCCCTATTTACAGAACAGTCTCCCCGTGGATGTTCAGCAGACACTTCCTTGATTAATGTCTCAGGCTGCCTTCATAAGACATAAGAAAAGGCCTGGTGGATCAGGCCAAAGGCCCATGTGGCCAGCATCCTGTGGCCAACCAGATGCCTGTGAAGAGCCCACAAGCAGGACCTGAGCACAAGAGCATTGCCCACCCCCCCACCCCACCCCAACCGTTGTTTCCAGACACTGGTATTCAGAAGCATAGCCTTTACCATCATGAACTTTGTCTAATCCTCTTTTAAAGCCATCAAATTGGTCACCGCCACTGCTTCCTGTGGCAGCGAGTTCCACAGTTTAACTACATGCTGTGAAAAGAAGTACTTTCTTTCACAAAGAAGCATTTCCCAATCTGAAACACCACAATTCTTTAAGCCTTCCTCCTCTGGAGCCCAGCTTACTTGACATGAAAATTTGTCTACACAAAGCATATTCTCGCCACGTTATCTTTAGAACTTTTAAAGGTCACAAAGACGTGTCACTGCCACTTCTTGTACACCCCTGGCTACTTGTGTTTGGATGTACTGGGAATCCATGGCACATTCAGCACCACAGAGACACAGTCTACTGGGAACATCTATTGTGCAAGATAGCACAAGAAGGCACATAATGCATTTTCGACATGTCCCCCAAAGCACGATATATTTTAACAACAGCGCTCTCATTTCCATGAATAACGTCAGGGATGGGGAGCCTCAAGCCCTCTAGATGTTGCTAGACTACAATTCCCATCATGCCAAGCCACTGGCCATGCTTACTGGGGCTGATGGGAATAGGAGTCCCAACACCACCGGAGGCACAGATTCCCCATCCCTGGAGTACACATAGATGATGTTTGCACACTCTTAAAAGAACATGGCTTTTCAGAACCTTAATGCATATGTGTTAAATCTACAATTCTCAGTGACATTCTCCAGCTAAACAACGCTCAGTTATCAGCATTTCAGATTCCAAAATAACGTATTAAAAATAAAAATAAAAAAGAGCTAGAAGATGTTGAACAGCTTGTATTCCCAAGGAACAGAGGGTGGGATGGGATGAAAGCTCCATGAGAAAATGAAAGCTGCTAATCTGTTTTCCAAGTGAAACATTTGAGGTGATTGCTCTAACCTGGGGCACAGTACATTCTCTCTATGGCATCGTTGTCACAGGAATCTTCAACCTCACTCCACCTGCTAAAATACGTTAGCTGAATGTGTCCTAAAAACAAAACGACAGGAGAAATCAAAACATTTTTCCCTTCCATTTTCTGCAGAAGTGAACTGTAATTACTCCTTTTGTAGCTAAAAACAGTATCATTAAGAATAATGGCATCATTAAGTACTAGAAGCTATTACTGGGGGTGAATTTGCTGCATTGATAATGAAGCTCTAGACAGGAAATGAAGATACTAATTACAAGATAAAACGCCTACTCAGTTAATTGGAAGCAACAGCGAATAAAAAGAAATGCATTTGCAGAAGTTCCTGACCTCGATCATTCAATAAGATGTTGTTTGGGTTCAAATCACGGCACACAATTCCTTCTCGATGCAAGGCATCAAGGGCTACTACCATTTCAGCTGCCCATCTCTGAACGCAGCCCTCAGGGAGGTAAAATCTGGAGGTTAGCGCTAATCTCTCGTCGAGGTCCTGAAATATCTGGTGTATCTCATTCTCTCCTCTGCCCCTCGCACCTGACTCTTTGCGTTCTGCTTTGTGAAACATAGCAGAGGCGGTTTCCTCTTTACTCAAGTCTTCCGCCTGATCAGAAAACAGCAGAACAGCCTCGTTGTCCAAATCTAAGCTACGTTCTTCAGCACCCGCTTGCGCCTTAGAAGTCAGCAACCTTCCCTGCACACCGAATGCGTCCAGTGATGACGCAGAGGCTGCTCCAAGCCCTCCAAAGAGAGTCCTATCCCCGGAGCCAACTGGGTCACTAGCAGCTCTGTGGAATGTCCTGATCGCTTCCTGAGTGTCTTCTCCCACCACCTGGTCCACCTTTGGCTCAAGGCCTCCTCTGCATTGCTCTGCGCTGTTATTCAATTGCAAGACGTCAGGGGTTTCCAAAAGTTTGCTCTCCAAATTGTCACCCTTCTGCTCCGCCAGCTTAGCCGGCCCGTCTGCCGTGGCTTCTTTCGTTTGCTCCGTGAGGCCTGGCAGGTTGACCAGAAGGTCAGGTCTTCCTTCGTCCACGCTACTCACATCGTCGAAGGCGACATCCTTGAAGGAGATCACGGGCACCGAGTCATTGGAGCCCCTGCTGATTGTGTCCTGGTAGGCAGGGCCCAGTTTGTTTTCTATGGCATCGAGGCTCTTCTCCTGATCTGGCATGGACAAAAACTGTTTCAAAGACTCAGATTTTAAGCTGTAAAGTTTATCTCCAAAATCCAGCCCCAGGTGTTCACTGGCACTGTCTTTGCTGTCAATTCTGAAGAATTCCATGGGGCTGTTCTTGGATTTACTTAATGATTCTGATATTCGGGTGGGACTAACAATTTCTTGATCAACGTCGTCGGCAAAAAAGTTTACTTCCTGAGATGTGAATGGGGACCCCAAATTCCCACTGGCAGGCTCATCACGTGCCTTGATGCCTCCCTGTTCTTTGGTAATGAGATTGCCATTGTCTGTTTTCAGAATAGGCTCCTCATTTAACGATCCGGGGTCGACCTTTTCTTGACCATATTCATTGCATAAGGTTAGATAACTTGTAGTGCATTCTTCCTCTGAACTGGACCCCGAATCAATCCACTTGAGAGAACTTTCCTGGCCATCTTCCTGGTTACTACTGCCATCTTGAGAACTTGGAGTGAGACTGGTCTTCAGCGGTAACACCTTCAGCATGTCACCACCATTGCTTCCTCTAGAGTCAATGCTGCTGCCAATATCTTGAGGGCTAGGAGTTGCCTGGTGCAAATGTATTTTGGTAGAACTCGATCTTCTGGATTTGGGCTCTTCAAAGCTTTCTTCGGGGCTTCTGTTGAGGAACTTACTGATATAAGACCACAGCTTGCCTCCTACAACAAATAAAGTAATTGGGATTAATTGTGTTTCCTTTACAGACATGCATGTCAGGAAAACATCAAATTGCCCTTGGTTCTAAATGCTAGGTTAAGAAACAAACAACCCTAGCTTGTTGCACCCATGGTTAAGAATGGTTGAAAGCAAGAGAAGGGGTTGAATGCCCATATGACAGATAGTCCGTACTACGTTCCAGTCTGCTTCTAATTCTCTAACCCTGCTTAGACAAATTAGCAATATATCTGCACTGACCATCTCGTCAAGCCCTTCCCATCTCCAACCTTGCAAACAAGCAACTGTCAATAGTTGCCCGCCTTACTCTTACCTTTAAATGAGCATCAATTAGCTTTAAGTTGGACCCCAAATGGAAGACTCCAGGAAGCATATTATTGCTAGTTGACTAACTGTTTCTCTCTTGTGCATTTATTTACACAAATTTGTATGAAATTTAAAGCATAAAATCTCATGATATATAAAAATATATACCATGCCACCAGGCAGTAATAAGCGAACGCTATCAAACCGTGTCACACTTCAGAGAAAGCTTTTGTCTGACACAATCATCTGAAGTCATCTGTTTCGTTTGGTTTTTGTGATCTAATATATTTATGTTTATGTTTTTAAATGTGTTGTAGGAGACCTTCAGGCAACAAGCACCTAACAAGCTTAACAAATCATAAACATACTGTGGGGAGGAGGAGGAGGAGGAGGAGCAACAGCAAGAGGAGGAAGAGGATATTTGATTAATATTAATTAATATTAATAGGTAGGTAGGGAATACAATGTGAAATATCACTAGAAATTCTTTTGAGCTCTCAGAGGCAGGGGCATGTATTTACCTAAAGTCCAACTGTTAACGTTTACTTTTACAAACTCGGCCACCTACCCATTGTGTCCTTTCCTTTCCATGGAGGTTTTCTAGTTCTTAAATCCTTATGAACATATGATGCTACCTTATAACATCAGGCTTTTAATACGCCTAGCCTTGTATTGAGTATTGTGGCTGGTGTCAGGCAGTAGCCATTCTTATCTCTTCCTACCTTATTCTTCTAAGCAGAGTTGCTGGGACCTGAGACCTTCTGCATGTGCTCTATCCACAAGAATTCTATCCCTTAAGAATTCATACCTAGCGGAAACAAAGCTTAAATATATGCAAGTGGATTTGCTTGCTTTCAGCTATTTACTCCCCCCTCCCCTGCCTCCTTTCACTGTGTCCCGCCCATCTAAATTTAGATTTTAAACTCTTGGGGGAAAGGGACCTGCATTTTGCTCTACAAAGTGCCATGTTTACTGATGCCGCTTTATAAATAATTGGCATCATCATAAATACAATTCTAAGCTCTTAATTTCAGATGCTTTCTGAAACCTGTCATTACTCTGATCAATGCACTCCCAAAAGTTAGGGAAAAAACACCGCACAACTGTTTTTAGAAGCTGAGAGTGAAAATAAAGGAAAACCCCATTTTCGATGTTGATGCACACCTCAATGTTCAACCAATGAAAATCATTTGAATATATCGTCATTTCTGTATGAATGTTATGGGAAAGGTACCAAAGTAAAAATATGTAAACACTTTTTAAAAAAAAATAGAGAAACAGAATCAATGATTTTATTTCATACAAAGACACCTCAAAATGCCCAATCTAGGTTACAGAGGAGCAATATTTCCTTCTGGGTATGTAATTATGTCTTTATAAATGACACACTAATAATCTTTTCTATCTTGTACTGCGATGGATAAGATCAATTAAATGCATTAGGCAGAGCTAGTGCACTACTGGCCATCTAATGCATGTAAAAATATCAGGGGGTTGGGGAAATGATGCAAAGGAGTTTCCTTAAATATTGCACCTTATTAGCAATTAGGTAGAGGGCATGCTTTGCATGCAAAAGGTCCCAGGTCCAGTCCCTTGCATCAGCTGTCTAATAGACATTTTCCATGTCAGCATCTAAATATCCATGTAGCTTCCCTTCAGTCATTCAGACTTTTGGGCTGAATGACTGAAGGGAATGACAGAATGACTTTTGGGGGTTTGCTTGGGGGGGGACGCATGCTGTTGCTACTATTGATATTCATTTTTGCATCTTTACTGTTAGATCTTATGATTTGCTATTTATATGGATATTCTTCAATTTGCTTGTGTACTTTTTGCTCTGGACCACAATTGGTGAGGCTAAGATTGGGGTCTTGTCATCTGGGCAGCCCAGGTTCTCCATACACACCGCCCAGGTTTGCACCTTGGAAAGGTCACTCCAGTGCTGCTAACACAGTGGTTTGACTTCACCCCTGAAGGGACACTCCATTGTCTCTTGAGGCAGATGGACACCAACACGCATCAGCTTTTAGATGTGTTTTATTTATTATTCATGACTACTTTTGTTATGTTTGTAATTATGTAAATCTTCTCATGTTGTAAGCTGCCTTGAGATACACCACCAAGCTAGATCCAGGTAAGAGCCATCTCCCAAAAGCGGTTTATATTTACTGAACAATTTTTGTGTCAAGCTAAAGAGAGTCTTTGGGGGGGGACGGGACACGCGCTTCCTGCTTTCTGTCCATAGAACAAAATGTACAGCTGGCAGTACTTCTGACTAGAGACGTCAGAGAAGTCTACTGAAAATGGGGATGGGGGCAGAGATTGAAGGAGGTTCACTTATTTGTCCCTTGTCTGGAACAGAAATCAATCCAGTGAATATGACTGATATTCACTGTTGTTTCGCTCAGTGCACAAAACAATACACAACTGATTATCCCACCACCGCTCAATTTACAGTGTGCTTCCTTTGCACTAAAATGATCAGGTCAGAATAATTTATTGAGAAGATAATGTGAAATGAATAATGTACTTTGGGGCAGAAGATGAACTGCAGTGTTAAAGAAACAGTGCCGCACTGAGACGAAGACACGGCAGAATGGAAAACAGTGCCTTTCTACATCCACACGCATGACCCTTAAGAATGTAGACAGGAAAGATATAAGGCTACTATAGTATTGTCCTGCTACAATATCAGCGTCTGCTAACAGGAAACATCTTCATTTTGAAGTTTCTTGAGTGCTTTCCAGATGGATATGAACTCCAGCTTGTTTATGCTTAAAAAGAGTTGACACTTTCTAACAGCCACTTAAACTCCGATATCCGTCAAAGCCCTTCGCACCCCTTGCCCCCCAGACTGTTTTAAAGGAGTCTGGGGGGCCAGGGGTGGGGAGGGCTTTGACGGATATCAGCGTCTAAGTGGCTGTTGGGAAGTGTCAACTCTTTTTAAGCATAAACAAGCATCTGTTTCAACAATTTCTGGCACTGACACCGCTAAGTAGTAGTGAAGCCTCAGATTGGCTTTCCATCACATTACATCTAGCCAAGTGCTTTGTGACATAGCTAACAGACACTTTATGGATGTCCTCGTCTTTAACAAGATGTTGCGGGAGAGACAGTGGGGGGGGGGAGGAAGAGAGAAGAGATAAGGTTCTACTAGATTGATCTATGATGTCTGGATACGACTATAAGAAAAACATTGGCACTGCTGCTTTCTGTTGTTTGGAGTCTGGTTCCCAGAATGCAGCTCAGGATTTCTAAAACATGACTGAATGGATATATTCCAGAATTAAGCAAAAGTGAAAAGGGGGGGGGCAAGAGGAAACAAACTTTGGCAATCCCACCCACCATTACATGAGATTTTGCCTTTAGGGGCAATCCCCGGAACGTAACCCCATGCAAACTGAGGGATTGCTGTAAAGAGATATTAGCAGCAATGTACTTTTTTAAGGCTCCATTCCATTCTGAACAAAAGGGCTAATTAAATGTAAGAAATATTTAAATCCCTGTGTTATTCAGGTGGGTGGGGGGAGTTAATAAGTAATTATTCTTTGCCACCTGTTCCTGAACATACCAGCAAATTTCCTAAAGACATGGAAGCCACCACTCTGCTGTGCTGCTTTCAACTCCTATGTGATGCCATTGGCTATTTTTCCTTTTAGAAAACCAGATCAGTTGCTGCGTTGACTGTGGAAACTCAACAAAAAGCTTGCTTTAAAAAATAAAATAATAATAAATAATAATTAAAAGCAGCAGTGATTATTCTCGTATGGATGCTAGGTAAATTAACCATAGAACAGAAACCAGCTCATTTGCCAAAGATTACAAGGGGTTTAACTTCTCCCATGTTAGGAACAGCCATGCATTTAAGCCTGGTAGGCAAGGGCAATATGGACTTGTATGCAGGCGAGTTCAGGGAACTAGTATGGGCTGGTGAAGGGAAGGCAGAGTGCTCTGTCTCTTGTCTGCATCCAGCAAGGAAACCAAGTGGATTGCCCAAAGAAGGAAGCCCTCAACCCCAACATCCAGCACAGAAATGCAGCAGGCGGCTGTAAGGCGAACAGAGTTCTTTATCCTGTCTCTGCAAGCCTTCAACAGGTAAGCAGGGCCATCCCTAACCATTAGGCAGAGTGAGACAACTGCCTCAAATGTCAGGTGCAGGGGAGTGCGAGAGTGAGACAAGAGCTATGTGTGCCACACAGCCCCCTGAGGAGAAGAAGAGAAGAGTTTGGATTTGATATCCCACTTTATCACTACCCGAAGGAGTCTCAAAGCAGCTAACAATCTCCTTTCCCTGCCTCCCCCACAACAAACACTCTGTGAGGTGAGTGGGGCTGAGAGACCTCAGAGAAGTGTGACTGGCCCAAGGTCACCCAGCAGCTGCATGTGGAGGAGCGGAGATGCGAACCCGGTTCCCCAGATTATGAGTCTACCGCTCTCTGCTGTTCTCTGGTGAGGTGGACGCTGCCCCATCAGCATTGCTGAAGTAAGTTTCAACTCTGACTATGGTCAGTTTCTGTCCATGGAATGAGGGGGTTGGGGAGGACCAGCTTGCCCTTCCCTTCATCAGCAGCAACTGTGTATTGAGGAAGTTAGCTATTTTTGCCAGCTGGTTGAGTTCTGTGGGTTTATTTACCAGGCTGCTTTAAAACAGAGCCATGTTCAGAGGTCGCCTACCTGCTAAGAATCAGACATGGGGGGCAGAGGTCAGGTGTTGCCTTCGGAGCCTGCTTTTGGGATTTCTAGAGGTATCTGGATGGCTACAGTTGGAAATGGGGTGCTGGACCAGATGGAACTTTGGATCTGAGCCAGGAGCACTCTCCTTATAGTCTAATGGCAGGAGCAGGGAACATGTGGCTGCCCAGATGTAGCTGGGCTACAACCTATCTGAGAGTATCATCACTGCTTTGCACAACGCATTTCATTTTGAAGGCTGATTAAGCAGCCACCTTGCACACACCATCGCCTTGCACACTCACAGCTCGGCTGGGGGTTTTGAGCACTGCCACGTTTGAAATGCAGCAACGAGCAACATATTGGAAAGCCAAAAGGCTTCTGCTGTCATTAAGAAAATGCCTCAAAGTAATGTATATATCACAAACGCAATAAAAATTTCCGGGTCAGGACAGGGACTTGCTGCCGCTCAATATGGGTCGAAACATGGAAAGTGCACCACATTGCTCCAGAAACATAAAAAAAAAAATTACAAATCCCAGGTGCACGACTTGCATAGGAGATTCATATGCACTAAAACAAGCCATGAGTTAGCATGGCAGTACAAATGCTCAGGTTGGCTGAGGTTTAGTGCCAGCAGCGGCGAAAAAGGCTTCCCCACATCCCTCCCCCAAACTTTTAACTGGTACTGCGGTCCTCTTAAACTGAGAGCTGTTGCCCTCCTGTGTTTTGGTGCTTCATGGGGGTTGGGGAAAACTTCCAAGACAAGCGCAAAAATGCAAAAAGTGGGAACTGCACATAGCAAGCGATTCGGAAAGAGGCATGTGGCATTTATGTACTTTGCAGCCGTGCCTCCAAAACCTCTGGCTTGAAAGACAGCCCTCTAACTCCGGGATGCCGCTGACTGAAAAGCCAGCATCGTTCTCCTCCTCCTCCTCCCCTCCCCGATCCCTCCTGCAAGAGATCTGAAGCGGCAGACCCACCTTCCGCATGGCGCAGTACAAGGAAGACCGACTCCTCCGAGATGATGTACTTGTGCAGGGCCACCATGTTGGGCACACAGCGGGGGATGATGGTCTTTCTCTTCCTGCTGTACTCGCTACTTTTCCTTAGACCCTGACAGAGAACAAAAAGGTCAGTTGTACCCTCAGTTGCCTTTGCAGCATGCTGTGCTCGGTGTTTATCAACCAAACTAATCTATCCGAGTTACTCCAGGCTTCAGAGAAGCCACTCATCTGCTGCTCTATGGCCCTCGGTCCCCCGAGGCCCTGCTGATGGCATCTGGCGCAGGTCCAGAGAACAGAAGATGGCACAAAGCTCCCATTAAAATCAATTACATGGGTCAATGTTTTCATTAGAATCTCTCGCAAACCAAGTCATCAGGATGACACTCTGTTATTTCCCCGTGACCTTTTTTTAAAAATCTATTTTGGAGGGTGGGTGGGTGTCGTGCTTTAAGTTGGAGAGTAAGGTGCAAATTTTTACATCCACCCACGTTTCATAGGCAAGCCTTCCCCCCTACACAGACACACACACATACTCAGACCCACTTTTAATGGGTTAGGAGCAAGCACACACCGCTCTGTCTTTCCCTCAGCATGATGGCGTGACACGGTTTGTTTCCCAAAGAGGTTATTACTTCAAAAGGTGGCATGGGCAAAGGGAAGCGTGATGAGGGGAGCCTTGCTGCTGGTAAACATACAGATAAAATGTGTTTCAGGAAACTAAAGCAGGTTTTGCCAGCCTGGTGCCGTCCAGATGTTTTGGATTTGTGGTCCTAAAAATCTGGGGGCCACCAGATTGGCAAAGGTTACACAAAGGTCATAAGCATCCATTTGATGGCTTCACATTGCGCATTTTGTTTTACAAACTTGCTAAGAGGAGACAGAAGGAGATGTTGCATTGCCACCCTTAGCTGACACAGATGCCTCACGGAACACCTTTTCCTATCATAATCTCAGGCACAACAATAAAAGGCATCATAGATGGTTCAGGAGAGGCGGATATCCTGAAAGTGGAAAGTGGGGGACTTTTTTCAGCCTGACGGTGTCATGCGATTTCCCCTTGTGCGCTAAACTCCACAAACAGTATGGAAACCAGGGGGGCTCATATTCGCTTCTGGGGGCCACACACCAGCAGTTGGCAAGGCCAGAACCAAAAGTCGTCAGAGGTAGGAATGTAACATTTGCCTTTGTTCATTATTATTATTATTATTATTATTATTATTATTATTATTATTACTACTACTACTTATTAAATTTGAGCCGAAGAATTGATGCTTTTGAATTATGGTGCTGGAGGAGACTCCTGAGAGTCCCATGGACTGCAAGAAGATCAAACTGATCCATTCTTAAGGAAATCAGCCCGGAGTGCTCACTGGAGGGACAGATCCTGAAGCTGAGGCTCCAATACTTTGGTCACCTACTGAGAAGAGAATACTCCCTGGAAAAGACCCTGATGTTGGGAAAGATGGAGGGCACAAGGAGAGAGGACAACAGAGGACGATATGGTTGGACAGTGTTTTCGAAGCTACCAGCATGAGTTTGACCAAACTGGGGGAGGCAGTGGAAGACAGGAGTGCCTGGCGTGCTCTGGTCCATGGGGTCACGAAGAGTCGGACATGACTAAACGACTAAAAAACAACAACAACAACAACCACCCTATACCCATATATCTACAATATAAAAAATACATAATAAAAATAATAACAAAGACATACTCCTCCCCTTCCACAACACATTTATCGGATGTTCAATCAGCCAAAGGCATGGTTGAAGAGGAACATTTTTGCCAGGCACTTAGAGGGGTACAATGAAGGCGCCAGCCAAACTTCCCTGGGGAGAGCATTCCACAAACAGGGAGCCACTGCAGAAAAAGCCCATTCTCGGGGTGCCACCTTCCGGAGCTCTCCTGGAGGAGGCACCTGAAGAAGGCCCTCAGAAGGTGATCTCAGGGTCCAGGCAGTTTCATATGGAGAGAGGTGGTCCTTAAGATTTGTTTCTACACACATACCTCTCTATCCTCCATGCAGCAAGAGGCTCTATTTTGTGTTGATGCCATATGAGCCTCACCAACTCAGGGGATAACCAGCAATACTCTGACAGATTATCTCAGTGATCAAGCTGGGATATAAGGGTTCAGGTGGGCCCCTAAGGTACCCTGGACCTTAGTTGTTCAAGGCTTTATCAATTAGTGGCTGTGGCACTTTGGGGTCTTGATTTTGTTGACTGAATCTGTGGGCAGACGAGGAGACAAACATCAGCGCACCAAGTGATATAGGAAAAAATAATGACTTACCTTCAGTATAAATGTCTGCTGTGTCCTAGTATCCATTACCAGCAAAACCTAAATGAAACCAGCAATTACAAAAATGCAGGCAATTTGTATGAGCTTTCACGGAACAGCTCTTATGGCTTCCTCTCTGCATATCAGAGAGTACAAGACCCCCGCAAAGGAACTCTACAAAAACCCTCGAATATAGGCAACAACTCATTGCATTTTTAGAAAAACAGTAATGCTGCAAAGGCTTAACAAGACAGTGGGTCATTCAAGAATGCAACGCGATAGTGGGGTGTATCAGCTTTTACACACCAGTACACAACACCCAAACTCCCACTTGATTTTAGAGTGTTTGCTATCTACTATTTTAATAATGTGTATGTTCCCACCCAGGGACCACTGACTTTGCTGCTTTGTTTTGAGAGGGGCATTACAGAGAACCAGTTTACCACAGCAGGAGAACAATGTATGAGCTACAGAGGAAGAAGCAACTTTTAATAGGAGTCTTATCTGTTGTGCAAATCAGACCTTTGCAGAATATGATTGCATCAGCTTAAAACAAAATCGAGAGAAGTCCACTTTCTTCTCAAATATGATGAACACAGCCACAGCTACACCACCCTCGCCCAATGTGTTAGCATTACCTTTGTCAACGCTAATTTCCTGGTTTATCTCATAGTCATAAATGGTTGGATGATGACACCTAATCTGGGCTTGTATTTACTGAATATCCAAAGTGTAAACTTGCTACAAAGAAGCCCATGGTTAGCTCCGGTCCTTATTATCCAGTGGCAATTATCCAGATACTCTGAATGCAGAAACCTGCAAGTGGTCAGAATTTCCAGAATCTTGTTTGATTTCCCCCAAAGCTACCAAGATTTCCCCCAAAGCTAAAGAGCTTCTGTTGCAGAACTCATTCAGAGCATGATCTATATGCGTATGTAGACATTTAAAGATCTCATATATAGTAGGGCTGCCATACGTCCGGAATTTACCAGTCATAGCCAAGATTCATCCGCTGAAAATGGTGTCTGGCTGGAATTATCAGGAAGTGGCTAAAATGTCCAGGAAAACCCGGGCATATGGCAGCCCATATTGGCAATGTTGATTTTTTAGCAATTTTCCTAAAAAAAAATATAGGTAAAAACTTCCATTTTATTTTATTTATTTTGAGGGGGGGGAAAGCTCAACAACTTCTGCATCTGGATTTTCACTTTCTGAAATATGGCAACCCTAGTATATAGTTTGTTTATTTGTGTATTGTAAATTATCTATGATTCTATTATTTATCCCAGTTAATACAATGAAGACTTCTAACAACATGCAATAAAAGCAACATTCAATAAAAGTTCCAAAACGCTAGGTAATAATTCTAGCTTCATGGAGATCAGTAACAAAATGGTGTGGCATATTCATGGTTCGTGCCCAGAAAAGTCACTCTATTCCCTCTTCCACCCATTTTCCACGGCCCCCGCCTCTGCCAACAGACAGTCATCACTCTTTGCCCATTGAACAGGCTCAGTCCTTGCCATGATGTTTTTGAGGTGTTCTCCCTCCCCGCAGTCTCCCCACTCCCTGGAAATATTATTTGTACTTCGGAAAACCCTAGGGTTCGTTCCCAAGTGGGATGATACTTTTCCTTGCAGGCGTGTAATGCCATTTTGGCTACATGAAGAACAGCACTCAGATAAATGAATTCACTTCTAGCATACACATACACACAAGTGCTGATTCTATGTCCCTAGGTTGGTGAGTTTCCCATCAAGATTTTATAAGATTGCAAATCAGGGCTATTTAAAAGCAGACTAGGAACTGATAGGATAAATCATAGCAGGAAAATTGAGCTGTGGTCTCCCTGTTTAGCCACAAGGCAAGGGTGGAAAAGACATGCCAAATTAAAATAGATAAAAATGCTTAGAAAGTGATACATCAATTTTCCCAGGGACTTTGTCTTTTCAACCAAGTTTGTTTTCAGCTAGCTAACATTCACATTGAGGCAGTAAATACAAGAACATATGTGATTTTTTTTTTAAAATGTGCCCTTTGACTGTCAATTTTTCCCAAACAGGTGTTGGTTAAATGATTATAAATTGGCCCCTGGATACACCTCTTCAACTGAGCCGTACAGGACTGGAGATAATATAATTAGAGTAAAAACATCAGGCTGGTGAATGCTTTCCATCTGCTTGGCAATAATGTTTAGTTAACAATAGTCTTTAAAAAGAAGCACCTTCAACTTCCCTTCTTAAAGTTATTTATAGGGCCATTCTTAACACCCCAGCACTCTTGCTAACAAGAGCTTTAGCCACTTGGAAATTATAAGCCATACGGCTAATTCCGAAAAAGAAACGTCTGCACACAACATCTGCAGCTCTCCAATTTTAAATGAAGCAACCTCATTTTAGAGTCATTTCTTAATGAATGGGCCTACGACTCTGTATTAATATTATCATTGCATACACAAAGATCATAAGGAGCCAAGCATTTATTTGGGGGGGGGGGAGAATACCAACACAAGGCTAATCGGTAGTGAAGCCGTCAGCATAAAGGACAGAATAATAGCTTCTTTAACCCACAAGAGGGCTGGATCATTTGTAGGCTAGAACATACCAATTTAATAACACTGCTCATGGCTTTGCTCACCTTTATAAAGACAAAAATCTAATTTGGACTAATTTGATATGATCGTCTTCCCAATCAAAAGCGCCCAACACAGACTTTCATTTCAGGATAAAACAACTGCTGCAACCAAGCCGTCATGAAATAATTACCTTTGATAGCATATCATTATTGGGACAAATACCATTAAAAGAATGCTCCTTTTAATTCTTCCTGTACCTCCCAACTAGTATGTGGGGTGGCTCTTAATTGTCTAAGCAGGAGTAGGTCACATGTTGACCACAAGCCACATCAACTCTTCCCCAGAATCTCCACAAATGACCTTGAGCACAGCTCACCCACATCCTATTCTTGTCAACTGCAGAAGCGCCATTTTTGCTGAGCTTTGCCAACTCAAAGCTGGAAACAATGGCCAACCACTTCGTCAAGCACTGCTCACCAATCTTCAATCTCCTCCTATTTTTCACGTCAGGCCTTGATGGAAGCAGGCACCAATTTTCTTGCAACTGTGAAAATTCTACGCTCAAAATTCACCAGCGAGGTAAAAAGAGGAAAGCCAATCCTAACAATACACACTTCCATTTTGTTTTAACAGAGAACTGTTCCTTTTAGCAACCTTGTATTTTAAGTAAAGGTAAAGGTAAATGACCCTTGGATGGTTAAGTCCAGTCAAAGGTGTCCGTGGGGTGCGGCATCTTGCTTCAAACCAAGGGAGCCAGCGTTTGTCCGCAGACAGCTTTCCGGGTCATGTGGCCAGCATGATTAAACCGCTTCTGGCACATGAGAACATCGTGACAGAAACCAGAGTGCACGGAAACGTCCTTTACCATCCCGCCACAGTGGTACCTATTTTTCTACTTGCACTGATATGCTTTCGAACTGCTAGATTGGCAGGAGCTGGGACAGAGCAACGGGAGCTCACCCTGTCACATGAATTCGAACCTCCAACCTTCTGATCGGCACCCACATCTCTGTCCTTTTTTAGTAAATAGCGTAGAAGCAGATGCATTGGTATAGCCACAGAAATATCATCTATTTTTATGAAGGCTCTGATATATGTATCACTAATACATGTGGTAAGATCACAGCATACCACCTCCTGGCTCACGTCAGATTTCATACGTTTCCATGGGCGGTGAACCACCATTTTGTCAGCATTCATGACTTGCCAAATGGCCACATGCCCAAGAAGCCACCATTATCTCAACTGTTTGCCCACCAGTGAAATTCTAGGCAGGTTTACCCGGAAGTCAGTCATTTGCGTTTAATAGGGCTTTCCCTTGTTTTTATGTCTTTAGGATTGCCATCTAAATCTTCACCTGACAAAATTAAGATGTTTTGACCAGGGAGGCTTGAGGAATATGATTTCTGTGAATTCCGATGTGAACTGACATGCCCTGCTGGATGAATTGTGAAGATCGGAATATAATTATCCTTCTGATTTTGTACTTCCCAAGACTTGGTGATACGGTTCTCAGCTAAAAAATTAAATGCCCATGCAGTTTTTATTGAGTTAAGAGACTCCATCAGTGTGATACATTTGCCTGGCTATACCTGTAAAGGTAAAAAAGGTAAAGGACCCCTGGATGGTCCAGTCAAACTTAACTGTGGAGTGTGGCGCTCATCTTGCTTCAGTGAACGTGACATCTGAAAACGAGCCCTGATTTAAAAAAAAAGCTTTCTGAACTCTAAACCAACACAATCACCTCATACTTTAAACCCCTGATTAGCTACTACTTGTACTAGGACGGAGTGAAGCAGCATCTCAACCCCACTGTCAGCCCTCAAAGGAGTCTGCTAGCAAGTTCTGCCACTAAGGATGCCAGCCTTCCTCACCATAGCTTAGTGGTAAAGAATCTGTTTTGGATAAAGAAGGTTCTAGGTTCAATCTGCAGCATCCCCAGGTAGGGCTTGAATAAACCCTTGCCTGAAACTCTGGAGAGACTCTGCCAGTCAGTGTAGACAATACTGAGCTAGGTGGACCCATGGTCTGACTCAGTACAGTCGTATTCGGAAGTTGAACGCCTTGCGAGTTGAATGTTTTGCCTCCCAAATGCCACAACCCTGGAAGTGAGTGTTCTGGTTTGCAAACTTTATTTGGAACCCAAACATTCGATGTGGGTTCCGCAGCTTCCGATTGGCTGCTGGAGCTTCCTGCAGCCAATCGGAAGCCGCGCCTTGGTTTCTGAACGTTTTGGAAGTCGAACAGACTTCCAGAACGGATTCCGCTCCACTTCCGAGGTACAACTGTATAAGGCACCTTCTTGTAGTCCCTTTGCTCTAGTCTAGATGAGCAAAGCAGAAAGAAAAGACTAGGCTATGATCCCCAAAGTGGCTGTATTTGGACAGGGGCCTCTGGTTCTCTCTGGTTTGCTTTCAACTGCTCTGCAGCCAAAATGGCACCTCTCCATAATGGCGCCCATCACAGTAGGACTTTGGGGCAGGAT